AGAGGTTTAATGAACTCACAGTTCGACTTGGCTGGGGAAGCCTCACAATCATGGCAAAAGGCGAAGAGGAGCAAAGGCACATCTTACATTACATGGTGGCAGGCAAGAGAGCGTGTGCAGAGGAACTGCCCTTTATAAAACCGTCAAATCTCATGAGACTTACTATCACAAGAACAGCATGGGAAAAACCTGCTCCCATGATTCAGTTACATCCCACTGGGTCCCTCCCACGACACATGGGTATTATGGGAGCTACAATTCAAGATGAGATTTGGGTGGGGACACAGCAAAACCATGTCACCTAGTGTGCTGAGAACTTTAGTAGGAATAGGTGTTGTACTTTGTCAAATGCTTTTCTGCATCTATTGAGATGATCCTATAATTTAAAAAATTTAGTTAGCTAATTTAGTGATTTGTTGATTTTTGACTGATAAAGCAGCATTCCTGGGATAAATTCCACTTGGTCATAATGTATTATCCTTTTTATATATTGTTGGCTTCAGTTTGCTAATATTTGGTAAAGAATTTTTACATCTGTGTTAATGAGTGATACTGGTTTATAGTTTTCTTGTAATAACTTTGGTTTGGGTTCATTTTGCTTTTTGGTTGTGTGGGGATATATATTTCATCAGCTTTGGGAAAAAATTGCTCATTATCTCTTCAGATATTTTTTTCTGAATCCCTGTCTCTTCTATTCTATTCACAATTCTGATTGCACGGAAATTCAGCCCCTTATGGTAGTTTACAGATCACTGACGATTTGTTTACGTTTTTCATTGTTTTTTCTCTGTTTCATTTTGAATAGTTTTCATTGCTGTCTTCAAGTTTACTAATTATTTTTCTGTCTAATCACGTAATATCTTGCTGCCTGCTAATCCCATTCAGCTTGTTTTATTTCTGACGTTGTTATTTTTATCTCTACAAGTTTGATTTGCATCTTTAAAAAAATGTCTTCCATGTATCTACTTTACATGCCTAAACTTTCCTCTAGCTTTGTGAACATGTGAATAGTGTTATAACAATTATTTAAATATCTTTGTTTGCTAATTCTGTCCTCTTTGTTATTTATGGATTGTTTTCAGTTGAATGATTTTTCACCTCATTATAGGTTACCTTTTCCTCCTGTTTTGCGTGCTTGGTAATTTTTATTGGGTTTCGGACATTGTGAGTTTTACGTTTTTGGGTGCTGTGTATTTTTGTATTTTAAAAACTATTCTTACATTTTATTCTAGGATGTGGCTAAGTTACTTAAAAACAGCTTGAGCCTTTCAGGTCTCGCTTTAAACTTTGTTACATGAAATGAGAAGCATTTGGCCTTGAGCTAATTTTGCCTTGCTATTGAGGCGGAATCTTTCAAAGTGTTATAACAGATGCACCTAGAATGAGGCCTTTACTTTGGCTGGTGGGAGCAAGAGCTGTTGTTCCTGGCTGTCTGAACTTGGAGACTTGGTTTTTTTTTTTTTTTTAAACTTTCATTTCATTTGTTCCAAGACTTTGGGTAATGTCTTCTTACACATACACTGATCTCTACTTAGCTGAAGACTAGAGGGATACTCTGCAGATCTCTCGAGTACTTTCTATATGCAGTTCTCTCCTCTCTGGTACTCGGTCTTATGAACTGTGGCTATGTGGCTTCTCTGGATGCCCTCTCTGAATGTCACTTCAACTCAGAGATACTGCTGGAGCTCCTGTGCTGTGGTTTAGAAACTCTCTAGGCAATAATGAAGGTGAACCCTATGATTGCAGTAAGACAATCACAAGGTTTACCTTGTTTCCTCTCTCTCAAGGATCACTGTCCTATGTTGCCTAATGTCTCAATGTCTGAAAACTGCTACTTTCTGTATTTTGTCTTTATTTTTTTCTCCATCTTGTCCCGAAGTGAAAAATCTCTCATGTACCTGGAAGTTCATCATCTAAATTATAATAGAAATGTGATGACTAGAAATATTTGAATCACATGTAAATAAGCTTGAAGTAAAAACATTATAAATTTGGTTATGTTGATTTAGGGTATTCAGGGAAAATTTTTTTTGACTATATTACATTTAGACAGTGAACTCTAGAGAGTTTCTGCTATAACAAAACACCTTAATACCATAAACTAGGTAGCTTATAAACAATAAAAGTTTCTCACAGTTCTGAAGGCCGGAAAGTTCAAGATCAAGGAGTTGGGGAATTCAGAGTTGGGGCAATCAAGAGGGCTAATCCCATTCAAGAGGGCTTCACCCTCATGACCTAATCACATCCCAAAAGGCCCGACCTCCTAATGCCATCCCAATACTTGGGGGTGAGGTTTCAAACTATGAATTTTGTGGGAATACAGTTGTATATGTTAGAACATGACATAATGTTTAGAATGCTTCAGGCACTGTTCTAAATGCTTGAGATATGTTGATGAAAAAATGAAGATCTCTACCCTTATGAAGCTTGAAGCTTTTAAGGAATTTATGCAAAGATAAACTAACAGATAACAATGTGTAAATTTATCAATTATATAATACGTTAGAAGGTGGAAAAAGGGAAAAGGAGCAGGATAAGGGGATTGTGAGTACTGGGTAGAGAAGTGCAGGGTATTGGGATGCATTTTTAAGGAGGCCTCATCAAGGAGGGATGTTTGAGCATGTGAAGGAGTTTCCCATTTGGGAAATTAGGGGAACAGCCAGACAGAGGAAACAGTCAGGGTGAAGACCCTGAGGCAGGAGCCTCCTTGATATGTTTGTGGCTTTACAAGACATTGAGTAGAGTACACAAGGGGGCAAGAGGAATAAGAGGTGAATTGGGGAGTGGGGAGAATCAGATTCTATGGGAGCTTATAGATTTTTAAAAAGACTCTAGTTTTTGCACTGGTCCTCACAAGAGGTTTTACAGGATTTTGAAAGAGGAGTGCCATTACCTGAATTGTATTTTACAAGGATTTTAGTGGCTGGTGTATTGAGAATTGTCTGGGGTCAGGGAGTACAGGGCAAGGCAAGCATAAAAATAGTGAGGCCACTGCAGCATTGTGGGTATCAGATGATGGTGGCTCAGACCAAGGTGGTAGCAATGGAGGTGGTGAGAAGTGGTCAGATTCCAGATGTGTTATAATGATAGAGTCAATGGGACTTCGAAGTAGATTGGCGTGAACCTTTTCTAAAAGTTTCCTCCTTGGAGAATCAGAAGAATGCTTGAGAGAAGTTTGAATTGGTACTGCATTTAATGTTTGGGAATGTGATTTTTTTTTTTTTTTTGACACGTCAGTACAGTTTTTAGTAAAAGCTTCTGCTAAAATGATTTCAAAAGCAATTATATGATATTTTGTGCAATGATGATCTACTATACAGTAATTTTTTATGTTAAGAAAAAGGGTAGATATTTAGTATGCTTATCCATAGATGACATCCAACTATTTGCCTCCCTATGAATATTTCACAATGCCCAAAGTATTTAAAAACTTAAATAGCTGACAATAGCAAATTGATTTTACTTAGAATCAAACCTTTGAATGATTAAAAAATATGTAAAATAAAGCTAAGAATATTTTGTAAAATGCCCCTCACTGATTCCAGATACTGGAATTGAACCCAAAATGACCAGTGGGAGTGCTGAGAATATTAGATTCAACTCCAAACTTTTGTCTTGATCATTTAGTTTACTACTTCAGCTTCTCTTTTACATCTTCTCATGAAGAGAATTATTTCTTTTTTCAGTTTTTGTTTTTCCTAGAAGAAGGAAATGCTAAAAATGCCATCAGGACCGTTCAAATTTGCATCCAAGCTCCTATTTAAGTTATCTTAACATTTAAACTTTATGTGACAGCTTTTCTTTGCAGTGGATTTCATTTCTTACAAGAATAGGAAAAACTGTTTTCTATTGTTAGAATCCTTTCGAATTTTTTTTTAAAAATTGAATTTTGAAGAGGTAAAGTTGTTTATTGTTATTGGCCTTCTCTCCTTTCTATTTAAAATAGTCCCTCCATTCCCATCTTTATGTATATTAGAAAGCAGTTATTGTGGTTAACCATTTAGTTTCCCATTGGAGCCATTTGGATATGTTTTTGAGGGTCTACTTAGATTTTGTTTTGCCAGTCTGTCACTGGTCTTATTAACAGTCAAATCTTAAGACTTCAATGTGTATTACTTTGAGTTTTTAGTGTTGGAATGATTAAAATAACAGAAACAAAAAATAGGGAGTGGAAAACTAGCAAGTAGGCACAAGTTCAAGGAATCCATTACTGGCTGGCTGAGATCTTTAAGTAGTTGGCTATGGAAGAAGATGGAGTGATTAATTATTATGGTAACTGCTTGCTATTACTATTTGCTTAATCAAATTACTTAGGGAATGGGGTAGTTAATTATCCTACATGCTATTTGAAATATTTGAAAACAAGTCTTTTATATTTAGCTATCAGTATCTTTTTATCCACTTTGTTATGTTAAAACTTGCTGTTTAGGACTTAAAAGTTACTTTGGGACATACCATAGTACTTTACTTACCACAGTAAAAATGATTCTGAGGGTTATGTATATATTTTTATTGCATCAAGGCTTAGAAATGTAACCCCACATATTTGAGCATCTCTAGATGTACCCACTAATTTTGGATGGATCCAGGTATTCTGCTAGGTAATAATGCCAAATCTGAAGGCATTCACTTAATTGTAAACTGTTAATTTGATTAATCAATCTTGTGACATTAACTGAGAACCCTGTTGGTACAAGATAAATCTTAATATTTTCTACTGAGAAGTCAACTATTTTTACATCTTATTATGTTGAGTTTTGCCAATTTTTACTAATCAGTTATTGCAAATGGTATTGTAACATTCCAATTGTAAAATTTCTAATTTGGGGAAAAATTTTCAGGAATTTTTTAGCATGCAGTCATCTTATTACTTTGAGGTAAATCAGGAATTATGTCCATATGCAAGACTTTTTCTCAATTGCCTTACCATATTACCTATATTTATTGAATATGTAGGAGAAGATGACACTGAATTTTAAAAATAATTTTTCTGTTGTTAGCTTTTTAGTTGGAGAAGGAGCCTACAGATGGGCAGTAGATCATGGAATACCCTCTTGCCCTCCTAACATCATGACCACAAGTGAGTAAAAACTTAAAAAAAATTAAGCTATATGAGCATATATACCTGAAAGTATAATATTGCTTCTGTTGTGACCCACGTAGCACAGATATTTATGGAAGAAAACTTACATGTTGAAAGATTTGTAGTTAAAAGATATGTAGAGGCCGGGCGCAGTGGCTCAAGCCTGTAATCCCAGCACTTTGGGAGGCCGAGACGGGTGGATCACGAGGTCAGGAGATCGAGACCATCCTGGCTAACACGGTGAAACCCCGTCTCTACTAAGAAATACAAAAAACTAGCCGGGCGAGGTTGCGGGCGCCTGCAGTTTCAGCTACTCGGGAGGCTGAGGCCGGAGAATGGCGTGAACCCGGGAGGCGGAGCTTGCAGTGAGCTGAGATCCGGCCACTGCACTCTAGCCTGGGCTACAGAGCGAGACTCTGTCTCAAAAAAAAAAAAAAAAAAGATATGTAGAAAGTTATTTCATTTTAAGCCACCTTTATATTCCCGAGGTCATCTCACTGCTTCCTTATGCTTTTATAAAAGTATTGCTGAAAGATCCCTTTTAGAGATTACTTAAAATAACTAATAAAACCATAATACCACCCTTCAATGAGAGAGAGAGAGATGGAGAGAGAGAAAGGGAAGAAAATATAGGTCAGTACTTAACAGTCCTTGAGCTGAGGGAAGGACTTTTTAGATACAAGTGCAAGGGAAGGAAAAACAAAGGTGTGACTACATAAGAGTTAAACTGAAAAACAGTTATCACAAATATAATAAAGGGATAAATATCCTTAATCTATGAAGAAATTTGCCAAATTTACCAAATTAAAAACAGCACAAATACAAGTAATTGCCCAATGTAAAAATGATCAGAAGTCCTAAGTACGTAATATAACCTAACAGGCAAATTCAAATTAAAATGAGTACATGTTGAATTTGTTCCCTTTTAACTTTTACTTTTGAAAGATTTAAAACATATTATTCCTGGTAATTGTTTGGTTAAATAATCATAATACATTGTAGGTATAAATGTAAATTGGTGGAGATTTTAGAGGACAACTAAGTAGTACAACTAAGTGTTCTGCTTCTAGGAACCTGTCATTGGAGATAGACAGAGATTTATATAGAAGGGTGCTCAAGTGAGCATTATTAAGAATATACAAAATTTTGAAAAAATCTTATACCCATCACAGAGGAATATGAGTAAATAAATGATCATATATTCTTAAAATGAAATGTTATGAAGTAACTAGAAATTATTGTGAAGACTAATCTCTGATAATGATTAAATCTAATGACTGAAAAAAGTGAAAAATGAAGTTATAAGTATGTATGTTTGTGTATATTATATGTCTATTTTAAAAATATTTGCATAAAATGAGAAAGAAATATTAAAAACATACACTAATTTTTTTTAAATAAAAATTTTATTTTTATCACTGAAATCTTGAATATAATTTAAATAATCAAATGAAAAAATGAGGATTTACTCCATGGAAACCAAGTTAGTTAAATAGGGTATAATTAGCCAGGTGTGGTCATGCACTCCTGTACTCTCAGCTACTTGGGAGGTTGGGGCAGGAGAATCCTTTGAGCTTAGGAGTTTGAGGCTGCGGTGGGCTATGATTGCACCACTGTATTCCAGTTTGTGTGACAGAGCGAGACCTTGTCTCTAAAAAAAAAAATTATATTCGGAATGAATATTCATGTAGTGCTAAAAGTTGTAATATAGGGAGGCTAGAGGGAAGAGAAATGTGTGTGTAGCAGTAGGGCTGGATTATGAGAGTTTTAAATTCCCATGATTGCTGTCACTCATTATGTCTTACAGTCTTTCCAATGGAACTTATTTTACAGTTCTTATATCAGGCAAACAAGTTAGGTCATCTCTCAGTTCCCTTTTTTTTCCCTTGGAGACAGGCCACCTGGCACCTTCCAGTCTAGAGTCTTACTAGGTCTGCTGCATGGCTGCCATCCTGAACTGTGCCTTGCTTCACCTTGTGATCTCCTTCGCTTCTCTCCAGTATCAGGTTCTCTGTTTCCTGGATCTCATGTGTTTTTCTTCCTTTTTTATTCCTTATTCAGTACATACGAGACTGAAAGTCAGTTTCCCTTAGGTTTTTGAGGAAATTGTTATCTTATTATCTTGTTTCCAGTCTTGCTATTATGCAAGACTCACAAATGTTTTAGTGTATTTTTTCTGTTTGGAAGGAAGCTCTTAATTCCCATGTTTTGATGATCACAATGAAGCATCTTGGGGCATTTTTTTTTTTTTATTCTTTATGTTGAGTGCTCATTTTGCACATTCAGTCTGGACATTTATATGCTTCAAATTTGGAGAAATTAAAAGAAAATTTTGGGATAATTTCTTGCTTCACATTTTCTGGATTTTATTTTCCTAATACTTATTTTTTAAACACTTTTAATTTTAGGGGCACATGTACAGGTTTGTTATATAGGTAAACTTACATCACAGGGGTTTGTTGTATAGACTATTTAGTCACCCAGGCTTTAAGCCAAGTACTCTTTAGTTATTTTTCCTGATCCTCTTCCCCTGTCCTACCCTTCATCCTCAGTTAGGCTCCACTGTCTTTTGTTCCCCTCTATGTGTCCATGTGTTTCCATCATTTGGCTCCCACTTATAAGCTAGAGCATGTGGTATTTGGTTTTCTGTTCCTGTGTTAGTCTGCTAAGGATAATGGCCTCCATCTCCATCTATGCTCCTGCTAAAGACATGATCTCATTCTTTTTTATGACTGCATAATATTCCATGGTGTATATGTACCATATTTTCTTTATCCAGTCTATCATTGATGGGCATTTAGGTTGATTCCATGTCTTTGCTATTGTGAATAGTGCTGCAGTGAACAAATGCATGCGTGTGTCTTTATGACAGAACAACTTGTATTCCTTTGGGTATATACTCAGTAATGGGATTGCTAGGTCAAATGGTAGTTCTGTTTTTAGCTCTTTGATGAATTACCACACTGCTTTCTACAATGGCTGAACTAATTTACACTCCCACCACAGTGTATAAGCACTTTCTCTCCACAACCTCACCAGTATCTGTTATCTTTTGACTTTTTATTAATAGCCATTCTGACTGGTGTGAGATAGTATCTCATTGTGGTTTTGACTTGCAGTTCTCTAGTGATCAGTGATGTTATCTTCTTTCCCACCTTAACCCCTGATAGCTACTAATATATTTTACGTTTGTATAATTTTGTCATTTCAAGAATGTAATATAAATGGTATCATACGGGCTGTAACCTTTTGGTATTTGCTTTTTTTTTTTTTTTGAGATAACATCCACATTGTGTTTGTCAATAGCTTTTTTTTTTTTCATTCCTGAGCGTTCATGGTATGGAGGTACTACCACTGTTTAGCCATTTGCCCATTTATGTCTGGGTTGTTTCCAATTTTTGGCTATTATGAATAAAGCTTTTGTCATTTCAAGAATGTAATATAAATGGTATCATACGGGCTGTAACCTTTTGGTATTTTCTTTTTTTTTTTTTTTTCCCGCTCCTGACTCTAACTCTCTGGAGATAACATCCACATTGTGTTTGTCAATAGCTTTTTTTTTTTTCATTCCTGAGCGTTCATGGTATGGAGGTACTACCACTGTTTAGCCATTTGCCCATTTATGTCTGGGTTGTTTCCAATTTTTGGCTATTATGAATAAAGCTTCTGTAAACATTCTTGTACTTTTTTTGTGGTTCTTTTTAAAATTATGGTATCATACACATAACATAAAATTTACCATCTTAAACATTTTTAATGGTATAGTTCAGTAGCTTTAAATATTTTCTTACTGTTATGGAACTAACACTATCATCATCTATAGAACCCTCCTCATCTCGTAACACCCAAACTGTACCCATTAAACAGTAACTCCCCATGTCCCTTACATTTAGTCCCTGGCTAGTTCATTTTTGTCTCTATGAATTCTGCTTTTATAAGTGGAATCATAGAGTACTTGTCCTGTTGTAATTGGCTTATTTCACTTAGCATGACTTCTTCAAGGTTCATGTTGTAGCATGTGTCAGAATTTCTTTTTAAGGCTGAATAATATTTAATTGTATGTATATACCACATTTTGTTTATCTACTCATCCATTGATGAATACGTGGGTTACACTACCTTTTGGCTGTCATGCATAATGCTACTGTGAACATGGCTGTACAAATATCTGTTTGAGTCCCTGCTGTCCATTTTTTTGGGTACCCAGAAATGGAATTGCTGGATCACATGGTTATTCTATTTTTATTTTTTGAGAAGCCACCATATTATCTGTTTTCCATAGTGGCTGCACCATTTCATATTCTATCAACAGTGCACCATGGTTCCAATTTCTCCATATCCTTGTTCTTTCCTTTACTTTTTAAAAAATAGTTGGCATCCTAGTGGCTGTGAGTTGGTATTTCATTGTCATTTTGATTTGCATTTCGATAATGATTATGCTGTTAAAGTGTCTTTTCATGTGCTTATTAGCCATTTTTATATCTTTCTTAGAGAAATATATATCCTAGTCCTTTGCCTATTTTTCAATCAGGGTTTTTCTTGTTGAGATAATAGGAATTCTTCATGTGTTCTGGATATTAACACTTGTCAGATATGGCTTGCAAATATCCCATTCCATGAGTTGCCTTTTCACTCCATTGATTGTGTCTTTCACTCATTGTGTCTTTTAAATTTTTATCTTTTTTTCTTTTATTGTCTATGTTTTGGTGTTATATCCAACCTTTTCTCCTATGTTGTTTTCTAAGAGATTTATAGTTTTAGCTCTTACATTTAGGTCTTTAATCCATTTTGAATGAATTTTTGTATATGGTATAAAGTGGGGGTCTAATTATTTTGCATGGGGTTATCTAGTCTTTCAAACAGTTTGTTGAAGACTGTGGTTTCCCTATTGAATGGTGCTAGTACCCTCATGAAATCATTGACCATACACGTGAGAGTTTATTTCTGAACTCTTTAATCTATTGCATTTTTCCTTGTAACAACCTTTATGCCATTTC